GTGCTAGCTGCCAGCAGCTGGACACTGCCGAGACCCACATGGCAATTAGTATCCCGTTTGTCAAGAGCTGTCAGCTCTGGGAAGCAACAGCAACAGCTGACTTTCAGGATTCCCGAACACGTTTTTTAAAGAGTCTGTCTCTCATAAATACCCCTAAGACAGGGAAGCCAAAACCAGGAACCTGGCTTTACAGACAAGGTTCTGTGTTCTAAGAGGTTCCATGATTTTACCTATAACCACAGAGCCAGAGGCTGCCTGCCTGGAGACCTTGTCTTCTCTTTACAGGATCCTTCTGGGGGTTGCCACTCATGAAGTCCACAGCCAGGGTTGACTTTCTACTTCCTCTGGGCCCACTTCTGAGCTCTGTGATGGAATAGGACATACAAGACAGATGTAATCCCAAGAATGCAAGAAGCACTAGAGTGTGTGTGTTATGGTCTGACATGGCTCCTCACCAGGAATGCAGAACTGATGGGATTGCCTTGGAGAGATCTCAATTACACAAAAATCTTGTCTCTTCATAGTAAACACCCAGAATCCACTTCTTTTAGTTTCACTGATGTAACTATAGGCAAAGCCTAGCTAACCCTCCATCATGCTTCCTGTTACCGTGTGTATGTGTGTTTGTGTGTGTGTGTGTGTGTGTGTGTGTGTGTGTGTGTGTGAGAGAGAGAGAGAGAGAGAGAGAGAGCAGCTGTCATAAGCTCATGGTTTGGATGGAAACAAACTGGTTTTGGACTTTTAAAAATTATTTTAATGTCAACCAATATCTACTTATTTATTTGTTCATTTATTTTGCACGCATGTGCACTTGTGTGTGCATCATAGCGCACATGGGGAAGTAAAATGACAACTTACCAGAGTAAATTCTCTTCCTCCACCATGTGGGTTCCAGGGATCAAACTCTCAGACTAGGCAACAAGCACCTTTGACTGCCGAGCCATATCATAAGCCCTAGATTGGTTTGATCTTACGTGACAAGAAGGTCTGACTTGAGTTGCCTGAAGGACTTTCTGCCCACTAAAAAGAAAGCCCGCCTTGCCAGCCACTGCTCTCCTCCATTCCCAGGAGGCCCCTTAACTGCCTGAAGCTGTTATTCACAACAAAGGTGGTAAACACATGAAATGCCCATGAAGGGAGGATAAACAGGGGTTGGGAAGATGGCTTAGCTGTTAAGAACACTGACTGCTCTGGCAAACCATGCTGGTTCAGTTCCCAGCACCCACATGGCAGCTCACAACCATCTGTAACTTCAGTCCAGGGGATCCGATGCCCTCTTCTGGCCTCTGTGGGTTCCTGCATGCATGGCGTGCACATGCATGTGCTCTGGCATACACCCATATGGAAGAAAACTTAAACAAAGAAGTTAACAAAGTATGGTCCACGCACATGTTATACTGTTCAGCAAGAAGGAAGGAAAAGGTCAAGGACTTAGCTGGTGCTGTCTTTAATACAGATAAACTTATCCTGCGAGAGGTCAAGTGAGCCAGAAACAAAGGATGGGAAGGAGAAAAGTCTCCTGGCCCATAGCCACTGGGTGTAAAACAATACACAGATTCCTCCAGCAACCTTACAGTTTGACAGTCCCATGCCTATGTGTGGGCCTCGTGCAGAAAACTGGGCCCTGTCTCATTCAGCATCGTTAATTACAGATGGTGAAGGAGAAGCTTGGCCAGCGCCTTGTCACTTCTCTGCTGCTATGATAAACGCCATGACAACTAGTGGAAGGGAGGGTTTGCTTTGGCTTACAGTTCCAGAGGGCTAGAGTCCATAATCATGGGGAGATCACGGCAGCAGGCTGCAGACATGGAGACTGGAGCAGAAGGTGAGGGCTCATATCCTGAACTCAGAACGGGAGGAGAGAGAGAGAGAAAGAGAGAGAGAAAGAGAGACAGAGACAGAGACAGAGACAGAGAGACAGAGACAGAGAGAGAGAGAAAGAGACAGAGAGACAGAGAGAGGCAGAAAGAGAAAAAAAACGAGAAGTAGGCTTGGCTTTATTTTCAAAAGTTACCCCCAGTGGTATACTTCCTTCAGAAGGCCACACCCAAACCTCCCTAAACAGCACCGCTGACTGGGGATCAGGTATTCAAATGCAGGAACGATGAGGGACACTTCTCATTCAGTCCACCATACTTGGGCTGTGCTTAGATGTCCTCTTCCTCCTCTGTCCATATCTGTCTTCTTCCCCTACTGCTGAATGCAGGTCAGTGCAGATTCATGGGGAAGAAATGGTGTCCATTTTAGGCATAGTTGGAGTTACGTTTTGAATCTGAAATTCCCACCACAGACTTCATGTTTTGAATACGTGTACCCTCGTCACTGGCGCTATTTTGGGGTGCTGTGTAGTCTTTAGAAAGGGGAGCCTGACTGGTGGAATAGCTCACTGGGGTAGGACTTTGGAGGTTATGCCCAGTCTCCACTTCCCGCCTTGGCATCTGCTTCCCAGCTGACCATGTGTGAACACCCCCTCCAGACCATCTTGCATCCACCCTTCTCTACCAGGGTGGTCTGAAGTCCTGAGCCAAGGTAAGTCTTTCCTTCCTAGTTTTGGTTGGCTACTGTGGTGCCAGCGGCATCAGAGGTGAGGAATACCGTAGGAGGACCCCAGCTCGTAGTGACTATCTCAGTACATCCGTGCTCTAAAACAGAGCGCCTGTGAATAGAATCTATAACAAATGGAAACTTGTTTCCTCACCACTTGAGACCTGAAAGTTGAAGGTGAAGGTGCCAGTCCCTGGTGTGTTCTTACAGTGTGCTCACAAGGCAGGAGACAAGAAAGAATGAAGGTTGAGTCTTGTCATATCAAGGGATGGACAAGAGGAGGGCGGTTCTGTAAGCCCTTCTTACTGTGGCATTGGCTCCTGTCATTCCCACTAGGCCCTGCCTCCCTGCACTGCTGTTCTAGGGATTCAGTTTCTGGGACATGAACTTCCAGCCGTAGAACTGACGCACTGCATACGCTGATACACACGTGTCTGCAGTGAAGATCTCTGAGTGTCACGTTCTGAGCACTCATCTGGCTAGTTGGAAGATTCCACTCCCTGGGGGTGTTGGTGAGTTCCTTGGTAAGGGGTAAGACGGCGGGGCAGTGATTATAGGCTCAGACTCCACAGCTCAACCGCCTAGGGCTGAATTACAGCTCTGCCATTTACAGACCGAGTGACCCAAGACAAGTCACTTGATCTCTCTCTGTAAATGGCTACCGGAGCGGTACCTGCTGCTAAGTCTATGTCCTGAACTGCACTAACAGCGCCCACCTGTGCAGATTCAAGCTAACTACAGCTCAAAACTACTTTAAAAAATCGGTGTCTGTACTGAATATGAAGATTTATTCTTATCCTAATTCTCAAACCAATATGGCGTGGTAGCTGTTTATGTGGCAGGTTTATTGCGTTGGGTAGTATGCATAACCTGGAGACAATTTAGACAGGACATCGTGGGAGCTTTGTGCAAACACCAGGCTGTTTTGCACTAGGCACCTAAATGCCAGGGGTTTTCACATTCATGGGAAGAGTCCTGGGGCCAACCTCAGGAGGATATCAAGAAACAACTACATAGACCCAGTAGATCGATACATGAAAAGTCCTTCCTCCTCTTCCCCCTCCTTCCCTTCCTCATCCTCCCTTTCCTTCACTTCTTTCTCCTTACACAATTACTGCTTTTTTTTTCTTCCTGTAAAACAATGTCCTGCAGGAGCTGCCGCTGGGGACAGTTAGTTGGGTGGTCACTAAAAATGACTAAGACTTTCTGAGTCAGTGAGGGTTGGCAGTTGTACTGTGGAAAGCGTTGAGTTTGACCAACTCTCTTTATGTTCAAAGTCTGACCTTGAAGCCCCTGGGGCTTCTCAAGTTTAACCAATAAACAGAAACTTACATATGAATGTTACCTTCTGAGCATTGTGGTCCAGATCCACCGTGTGATCTCACTATTCATGGCTCACACTGGGTTTATTGGGAGGGGGACTTCTCTGATATTATCTCACCCTTCCCGGTGCTCTCATCTGATTGCTTCTTTAACATCTGGTTGGATCTCCTTTTAATCTTTGTATTTGTGTTGTACTGTATTTATTTGTGTTCCATTGTGTTGTGCATGTCCGTATTTGTCTATGAGTGTACAAATGTGTGTGTGTGACTGAAGTCAAACTCGGATGCCATTTCTAAGAACCATCCCCCATACTGGGAGTTTTTAGACAGAGTCCCTTACTTGCCGGGACTCACCAAGTAGACTAGGCCAGCTGGCCATTGAGCCCAGTCATCCTCCTGCCTCCACCTCCCCAGCACTGAGGAGGGTGGCACAGAGGAGTTTTGGCATCACACCATCCTTTTTTTTTTCATGTGTGAGTTGGGGATCCAGCTCAGGTCTTTCTGCTTGAGAGGTCAGGCCCGGGCAAATACAGCCATCTCCCAGCCCGGAGCAGCTCCTTTTCACCGCGCAATGTTTGTGCTGAGGTGCCCAGCTCTTTGAGGTGTCGCCAGGCTCCCAGGCAGCTGGCTCCTCCCAGTCTCATCTCTTGCTCTTGTGCAGTATCTGTGCTCCACAGACACTGGCATTATCACTGAATCGTCTTGAACTTAACTTTGGGAAGTTCTTTTAGAGCCCCCCAGACAGTGTTCTAAATAGCTCCAGTGTGAACGTCCAAGTCCTTTCGGAGTGGATGTGACTTCAGGAAATGCCAAATTTGCGGAATGAATGAATTGAGGAATGCCAGTTCTGTCCTACTGTACATTTAAAAGACTGGTTTCCTTGGGTGGGTCATAAGTCAGGCCTAGCTTCCATTTTCCCAGAGGCTGTCCAAAAAATATTTTGAGGAGTGCCTTTAGAACAGGCACTGGGTCCCATAGCCAAGGCTGAGTTGCTCTGGCTGGGGCTGAAAGCTCGGTGTAGAGCTGTAATTCCTAGAGTGGTCACAAGAGGGCGAGCGTAGTCCGGACTCCCTCTAGTAAGATACTCTAAGAACTTTTTTTTTTTTTTTTTAATAAAGATTGGAGGAGGTTGGAGCAACTCCCACCCAGTCAGTACCTAGCAGAGCTGCGGGAGCCTCCACAGAACATCTCCGGATCGCTTTCCGAGGCTGACGTCTGAACCAAGACAGAGAATCCCAGGTGCAGACCCCTCATTCAGTCACCAGGCTGAACCGGTTCTCCTACAGAAGTGACCCTGTGGCCCTGACCTGAGATAAGTTACTAGGTGACCCCCGCGGCCTCTTTCTATGACTCCATCTGGATTTGGCTGGCTGTGGGGACAAGCTTCAAGGGACTGCCTGAGTCTCCGTGGGACAGCAGTCAGCTTTCTGGCTACCATGGCAATTGCGGGGAAGTGAAGGCACAGGCTCCAACCTCAGCACAAGGCACACAGGTGAGTCTCGAAGCTTTGACCTACAAGCTACTGGGTGATAATGCCCCAAAGGCAGATTCGGGAAACGTTGCACCGATGGAACAGTGCTAGGAAGTCTTGCAGACACAGAACCTGGAGTTGCCTGCTTCGGGTGGGAGGGTCCCAGTAAGCTGAGTCTGTAGATACCTGGGCCCCAGGACCCAGCTGTTAGGGATGTAGAGTATGAGAGCCAGCATCCTGATGCCAGAGGGATGCTGTTGTTTCAATAGCATCTCGGACTGTCTGATTATGTCATAGCTCCAAGCCTATTCAGAGAGTAAAAGGGTCAAGGAACAGCCACTGTGTGTGTGTGTGTGTGGGGTGTAGGTGTGTGTTAAATGTATGTATGCATGTGTGTTTTTATATGTGTGCATATGTAGATATGTATGATGTGTATATATGATGTATATAAGATATGTAGATATGTATGATGTATGTGCATGTGTAGATATGTATGATGCGTAGATAAATGATATGTATATGTATGATGTGTATATATGTATGATATATGTGTATGATGTGTATATGTATGATGTGTATATATGTATGATGTATATAGTTATATGTACACATGTGTGTATGTGCATATATATGTATCAGGGTAGGATTGTGATGCAGGAGGTTATTAATGGAGCATCTGCACCTCTCCAGCTAAGGATCCAGAGAACTGAGCACAGTTAGAAGGAAGGGGTTTAAGATCTACCTAGCAACTTTTTCTCAGAGGCCACATTTGCAGTGACTTTTTTTTGGTTTAAATAAGTTTTAGAATCTTGGCAATCCAAACAACAACAAAGCTGTAAGCCCTGCTGAGTTAGAAGCCATAGCTCACAGAAACTGATCCAGAGTTGCAAGTGAGGCTCCTGATCCATCTCAGTCCTTTTGGTGCTTTCAGAGAAACTTCTAGAACCAAGGTCCTAATCTCAATCTTATGCCACATTTGAAGTTGCATTTTTGCAAAGGGAACATCACACAACTTCATTTCTAGGACTTTCTGAGCAATGGGAAGTCTTCCTGACTCTGAACCCCCCTAACCAATGGGGATGTGGTTTCTCTTTTGACACTGTGCCTCAGCTATAATGTCTGTATGACTTTTCAAAGCCCTCCCTCCTGCATCAGCTCCCAAGATGCTCACTGTCCTCCCCGCTGCAGGGAGGGGGTCAGGAGAATGGACTTCACATCCCAGGGCTGAAGCGCAGAAGGCTAGATGAGGTCAGCAGATTGGGCCACCTTCTCAAACTGATACAAAAAGGAACCCTTGTGCTGTGAGCTGTTCCACTCCCACACCTGTGCAGAGTGTGAGGATTTCCCACACCTGTACAGAGTGTGAGGATTTCCCACACCTGTGCAGAACATGTGAAGATTTCCCACACCTGTGCTGGGCATGTGAGACTTTCCCAGGGTGTTTTTGGTGGTCAGATACAGACTCTGGAAGCTGTGCTTGTACCCTACCCCACCCTTTGTGGGGAGTGCATCATAGCACCCCCTGGAGGTCAGTAGGACGCCCTTCCCTGTTTACAAGGTGGCTTCCCTCTGATGGGCAAAGTTGAAGTCCGAGCTCCTTGAGCACTAGGGGACCTGTGACTCCCTCCATGCTGCCCAGGTTTTCCCTTCCAGCCCCCTCCTCTGATCATGTCCTTACAGACATGCACTGGCTGCCCCTCCAAGATGTGCCCATTTCTGCTGCCTTATAGTGTCCCTGGAGATGACCACAGAAAGTGACTGACACAGATGTATATCCTTGGTACAGCAGCCATGACCCCCAAACTATCTAGTTACTGCCTCTTCCGCTCTGATTTCTAATATTGTCATTCTTGCCTCTTCGGTCTTGCTTAAGTTATCTTTTAAATGGGAGTGATAAAATGATGGCCTACCTTCCTGACCTGCTCCTAGTGCTCCCAGGAGGTCCCTGAGGGCAATCCATCTGAGGCCCAAGGGACATTTACAGTGTACTAGCAGCTTGCACTATGACCACTACTCTAGATGGTCAGTTGTGGCTTGCTTGAGAATGCAAATGGGGTCTTAGAGTCCAGCACCTGCTCCCTACAGGAGAAAACACAGCCCCCCATAAAACCAGGGCAGGCAGAACATGCTTACATTTTGTTTCCAAGTAATGAAGAGTTGACAATTTCCAAACTCAACCCTCTCACATCTGGCCCCATTCGGCCCCAGCCCCTTTCCCTCGGCTCCTTAGGCTGTTTCTCAGTCCGGCCAAGGGGTGGGGAGGATGGCTAGGAGCGGTTGCCTTGTGGACACAGTCCAGATCAAAGCAGCCTGAGTCGGTCAAGAGAGAAGGAAGGTGGCATGAAAGTAGGGTTCCCTGCCCTGTAGGTTCTGGGGCCTTCTGCAGGCAGATACTGTTGCCTTTGGCAGAGCGAGGGCAGCAGAAACAGTGAGGCCTCCTGCTGTGTAGCTCCCCAAGATTGAGGCCAGAGGGGAAGGGACCACACATCCTGAGACCAGTGAGGATCCCCTATAGCTGAGCAGGATTGGAGCCACCCAGTGCCCCACCTAGAGGCCCTTGCTGGATGGAAGGCTTGGATGGAGAGCCAGAGACAGGAGACTAGCAGACTGGACACTATGGGGAGAGACACAGAGAAGCTGGGTGGGAACTGTCTATGGGAGATCCTTGTAGACCCAAGGACCATCTTCATCTCCCATCTCCTATATAGACTGGGAGCAAGACCAAGAGACGGAGTGCATGTGTGTTTATGTCTGTGCCCAAGTGAGTGAGCCGGCGTGTGGGAACATGGCATCTCATCACTTGGCATGATGGAGGCAGGAGACCCCGTTGCTCCTGAGTCATTGGAAGGGCAGTTGAGCAGCCACTGGTCAATGGCTCTTCTTTTTGGCCCCAAAGTCCTAGTCTCTGGAGACCAAGTTCAAGTCAGGAAGAGAGCACACGTTTTCGCTCTGGGCTTTCCTCTCCATCATTAACCCCACCGATGCTTCCTTCATGCCCCGCCTTTAAAGAGGGATGGGTTGAATCCAAGACCCATTGCAGTCTTCCCATAAGGACCTTCCAGGCACTGTACCATCTCACCCAGGCTGTGGGGACTTGCTTGCTTCTTTGGATCTCAGTGAGTCTCCTCCATGCTGGGATTGTACCCATCTCCCTAAGGGCTTTGTTTTTCCAAAATTCACTTTAAAGAAAAGTAAACGCCACCATCTGATTTATTTTCTCTTCTTCTTTTACCTCCTTTTCCTCCCCTCCCCCTTCTTTATTCCGGTTAAATAACTATACCGCTAAAGAGCATCAGCAAAACAAGTTGACATAGACTTACGGGCAGTTAGAACGGTGCTGAAAGCAATGTGTAAAATTACAGGGCATATATGTGAGGAAAAAGCCAAAGGATTTTGTGTAAACAAACGCTTTGTAATTTGGTTTTACAAAAAGGATTTTTCTCATTACACAAAGAATGCAAAGGCATCTTAGAAAAACTCAGAAAATCCCTTCCAGCCCGGATCTCATAATGCCTTCCTGCCCCGGAGCCACCCGAGCAGTCTCTGAGGATGGCCTTCCAGTCACACACAGTTCTGTGTGACAGAATTCGATGGTGGAGGCCTCACTGTTGTGCCAACACCATGGCTGGGTCACTTCGAGTGAGAGGATTCCCCAAGTCAGGAGCTCAAGACTTTGCTTCAGCCTTGGGGGATCATACAGGCACAAGGGTCCCGGCCAACAGTTGCTCATTAAGACTCCTTGAGACAACTCAGCCCCTAGGCTCCCTGGAAATGAATTCCTGCCATGGTCCACTGTGGGGCCAGGGGGCATCTCACCTGCTCAGCTGATCCTAAAACGTTCAATGCATCTGTGCTTCTAGTTTCCTTTATGCAATTATCTGACCCTCCAAAATTGCTGATGGCTTATTCAGTGGTTCTCAGCCTTCCTAACGCTGTGACCCTTTAATACAGCTCCTCATGTTGTGGTGACCCCCAACCATACATTATTTCCATTGCGACCTCCTAACTGTCATTTTGCTACTGTTAGGAATCATAATGCAAATATCTGTGTTTTCTGATAGACTTAGGCAACCCCTGTGAAAGGGTCATCCGACCCCACAGTGGTTGCGACCCACAGGTTGAGAACCTCTGGCAGAAGTTGCTGTCTATTCACCATGTGGGAAGTAGGGTGTCCTTCAAGTTCTGTCCAGCATGGCCATGGTGGCTCCAGCCTAAGGCTCCAGCCCCACAGAGAGCTGTTATTAAAAAGGGAAGGACAGATTCCCATGCTGAAAGCTGGCCAGGGCTTGGCCTTCTAGCAGTGACCAGGGAGAGGCTGGAGATGGAGGGATCCCAAGGACCTGGGTGGTGGCCCTAGCGCCTGTAAGTGTAGAAAGGGTCCCACTCCAAGCCGGGGCCATTGGGAGGGCACCCGGTTCTACCATTTGTGTTTTCCACACAGTTGACGCTGTGTCTCCTCTGTCCCCTGTGCCACCCAGTGTCTCCACTGCTCCGGACACGATGGACAACAAAGCCATGTACATGCACACCGTGAATGACCGTGACAGCGGCTCCATCTTTGAAGAGCCCTTCGATGGCAGGAGCCTGTCCAAGTTGAACCTGTGCGAGGACGGTGAGTGCGTCTAGCTCTCCAGGATCTTGCTTTCCACGGGGCCTTGGTTACCCCAGGGCCTGCTGACCTCCCTGTCTAGCTCTGTGTGTCTCTTCGCTGGGCTTGCACGGAAGAATGGAGCACCGTCCCGCTTCTGAGAGGGTTTTTTGAAAGGACTTCAGGATGCCTGCCAAGAGACAGCCCCGTTCATGCTGTAGTCTCCAGAGCGGTACTCGGTTTGGCAACTCCCTGCCAATGGCGCTTCTGGGGAGCCATGGCTCTGGTCCTTTTCCTCACATCACAGGAACAGATGTGGGAAGAGAGGGGGGCAGGGACAGCCCCAGTAGGAGGGACAGACAAGGAGACCTGAGCTTCTGAGTAAGAGCTCCTCCACCTACCCTTGGGGATGCTCAGCAGTTAGCGCTTTGCCCAGGTGCTAGTCTGTGTGCTGGGTGTCAGGGATGCTGGGGGCCAACATCTGCCCTCAAACAGTTGCTATCTGGAAGAGGAGCAGGCCTGACAGTGGTCCCCTGAGTGCGGATGTCGAGGTCAAATAGGGAAATGGCTTCTGGAAAGTGGCTGAAGAACGACTGTACCATTTTTTTCCCTCTGCTGTAATAAAATGTCCAACAAAAGTACCTTAAGGAAGGAAGGGTGCATTTTAGCTCACAGTTTGAGGATGTTGCTGTAATAAAATGTCCAACAAAAGTACCTTAAGGAAGGAAGGGTGCATTTTAGCTCACAGTTTGAGGGTGTTATGGCGGAGACATCGTGGTGGTGGGGGCCGTATTTCATTCTCAGTCAGGAAGCAGAGGGAGATGAATGGGGGTGCTGAGCTCCCCTTCTCCATCTCATTTACTTGGGACCCCTGCCCATGGAATAGCACTGGTGGGTCCCCCTTCACTTAAACGTGTCTGAACAACCTCACAAACACTTAGAGATGTGTCTCCAAGGCAACTCTAAGTCCCATCAAGTTGTCAGTCAAGACTAACCATCACAAGAAGATTTTGAAAGAGGCGGGGAAAGGCTCTGTCAGCTTGTTCCCCAGACTAGGCCAATGTCCTGCCTACTCGGGTGAGGGAATCGTGTGTGAGTGCATTCATGCCTGTATGCAGTTTCTGGTGCACTGAAGCTAGGGGCTGTGGGTTCCAGACTGACTCCAGGCCTTCATCTGCCGGAAGGAGACACAGTGGGTACCTCTGAGGGTGTGGTTCTTTAAGTTCAGGCTCGAGGAATGATGCTACCCCATTTAAAGTTGAGACAAAGTCTGGGCCCTGCTCATGGCCCAGGAACCCAAGCTCTTGTGCTCCCCTTCGGGATGGGGTCCCCAGTCTCTCCCCAGCCTCTGCCCCTGAGGAAGACGCTTTCTCCAAAGCGCCTATAGACACTGTCCTCACTGCCCTCGCATCAGGCCTCCAGAACTTGCCTCCAGTCTGCTACCCTCCCACCTCTGCTTCCCACCTCTCATTTTCCTCCCTTCCACAAGCTGTTCTTTCTCATAGCACTTCGCAATTTGCACCGTTATTACATTGTTTCTTCTCTGCTCAAGTGGTAAGAAGAATGTGGGCTGGAGGAGAGCTGGCATCTCCTCCAAAGCAGGAGGGCTGCTTAGTTCACGGATGCCTCCCAGGCCCAGTGCAGGGCCAGCACCATCTAAATATTCGCAGAGGAGCTAACTAAAGAGTGAGTGGATGAACAAGGGCACAAGGCCCTTGAAGTCTAGAAGGAGCAAAGCAAACGCCTGTGTGCCCTGCTCCTGAGCTCTCTGCATTCCTTAACTCCTTGTCCCCGGCTGGTAGGTTCCTGGAGGGGACACAGAAGTGGGGAGACTCGAGCCAGATTGGATCTGTTTTGGAAGGATCCTGATGCTTTTCTGATCTTCCTCTCTGGAGGGTAAGACAGAGGAACAAAGGGAGTGAGGCCAAGAGAGGAAAGAAGAAACTGGAAGGAGATGGCAAAGGGAGGGAAGCCTGGGCCAGGTCCATCCCAGAGGCCTTCGGTAGATTAAATCCGAGAAGTGTTGGATGAGCTCCAAGCCCCTTTGAGGACTGCCTCCTGAAAATGAAGGGTAGGAGGAAAGAGGAAGGGTGTGTGTGCTTCCTCTTGTTGGAGGCTGGCCCTGGGTCTTGGCATGGAGCAAGATCCTGAAAGCACAGCCCAGCTGTTCAGGTGTGACTCAGATTTTAATGCAGGTGGTACTTTAAGAACTGTTGGTGGGGGCTAGAGAGATGTCTCAGCAGTTGAGAACACTGGCTTCTCTCCCAGAGGACCCAGGTTCAATTCCCAGCATCCATAGTTATCTATAACTCCAGCTACAGGGGATCTGAGACCTTCACACAGATATGCATGCAAGCAAAACACCAATGCACATGAAATTAAAATAACAAATTATTTAAAAAATAACATTTGGGGGCTGGAGAGATGGCTCAGAGGTTAAGAGCACTGACTGCTCTTCCAGAGGTCTTGAGTTCAATTCCCAGCAACCACATGGTGGCTGACACCCATCTACAATTCAATCTGGTATATATGTAATAAATGAATAAATCTTAAAAAAATAAAAATAAAAAATAACATTTGGGAAGGAGACAGAGGCAAGTGGATCTCTGAGTTTTATGCCAGCCTGGTCTACAGAATGAGTTCCACAACAGCCAGGGTCACTCAGAGAAACCCTGTCTAGAAAGTAATAATAGTAATAATAATAAATGAGAACCATGGGTGTAAATACTCCCATTAGACAGAGGTCTGACCCTGGCTGCATCCTTTCCAAGTTCTGCCTTGGCCTCCTTGCCTGATCACTCCCAACGTGAGTCAGTGGGTTCTGTCTATACCGTCTTGCTCTTGCTCAACCCCTGAGGCAGCCACAGCTTCCCCACTCCATACTCTTCACCTGCCTGGGCCCCATCCATCATCTCAAGCCCCATGCTTCACTTCCCCAGACACAGCCTTGCTTGGTTGGTTTCTAGTCACTGTTACAAAACCTCTGGCAGAAACCACCAACAGGAGAAGGGTTTATTTGGTCACACCCGTTTGACAGGTTTCAGCCCACGGTTGGCTGGACCCATTGCTTTGGGCCTGAGGTGAGGCAGAGCATCATGATGGTGGGAACGTAGGTAGTGGAGGCCGCCTTTTTACATGGTGGCCAGGAAGCAGAGCATAAGTCCAGGACAAATTATAGCCCCCAAGGGCAAGCCTCCAATGACCTACTTCCTCCAAGCAGATCCTGGTTCTGGAAGTTTCCATCACCTACAAATAACGTCATCAAATATGAAGCCATCATTGTGTCAATTCACCAGTTAAGTAAGGGTCCTCAAGAGCCTCTCAATTCTCAAGGGTCAGATTCACAGTCTGGGGACCAAGACTTCCACACCTGATTCTTTTGGGGGACACAAACCCTAAGCATAAAATACAATGTATTCTAGCATGCTGGGCTCTTCTTTGAGTGGTGTGTGTGTGTGTGTGTGTGTGTGTGTGTGTGTGTGTGTGTGTGAGATTTCTTGTCCTTACTGCACTCCAAACGTCTTGAAGTCAGAGAAAGTGAGACACCAGGTACTTTTTAGGTGATAGGCGCTCAGGAAATCTCAGGGATAGTTAGCACATGACTTGTCCAAGGCCACTCAAGTGGTTAGTAACAGACTGAAGCCTGACTTGGGGCCTCCCTGCCTATAATTCAGGGCTCCTCCGTGGGAAAGGAATTGGAAAGCAGACTAATGATCCTAATCTCTGGATTCTGAACTGATAGAGAAATTGACTGGGCAGTGGATGAGAATTAAAACACAGAATCTGCCTCTTACCTGGAAGGTTACCTTCAGGGGTGTGGCCGGGGCCTGCCGCTGGCATTGCTCGGCAGAGCCCTAGACAGGAGTTTGTGGGAAGACAATGCTCACCCAGTCAACACGCATGCGCAGCTGCACTGGTACTGACCCTCGCTTGACAGCCACCCCCTACCCTCCTCCCCAGAGCAGTAGGGCCAAAGGACTCCAGTCACAGGCCGCCTTCTCACCAAACGAGCCAGTGGTTCTTGTGCAGGCTGCAGGGCCCAGAGTTCCTGTCTTGCAGGCAAAGTTCTGGACTGCAGAGCATGGGGGCAGCATCGGGTGTGAGGGTCGAAGCTTGTGCCGCATCCTGGATGGGGGTCCATCGCCCAGGGAGAGTCCTCAGTGCAAAGGAAGGGCCCCCCTCCCCCACCAGCGTTTCCAGCGGTCACCTTGCTGCTTTTACTACAGATGTCTGCCGCCCCTTCCTTCCTTCCCACGTCTTCTGTGTCTGCCCCCTTCTCTCTGCTTATTCCGGGCTTTTGCCCTCTCCTCTCCCTCTCTGCCTCCATTCCTGTGTACTTCACAGGTGACAGGGAAGTGGAGGGACCGTGGCACACCATTGGTCCCCTCCATGGAAGGCCCCTTTTCTAACACTGGCATCCTCACATATGTCAGCTGCCCCTCCACAGCGGCCTTGGTAATTCAGGGTTCTGTACCTCTGAAGTCCAGTCTTCCTTTCCGTCTTATCACTCAGTGGCCTCCATGGAGCCCGCTGTAGACCAGAAGGCTAAGGGCAGGGACCAGAATGTGCCAGGCATCATATGGGGGATATAATCCCAGAAATGCTTAGAGGATGTCCCAGAAAAACCCAAAAGGCCCCTTCCACCATGTGGCCTCACTCAGTCATCCCCCCAAACAGAAACTCAAAGGGGGCAGCCCGGCCTGTTTCCTATTCCTTTCTTCCCTCTCATCCCCCATCCTATCCCTTGCCTCAACCTTCTTCTCCAGCCTTTGTTTCCCCTGCCTGCTCAGCCAGCTGGGGACCTCTCTAGGCGGGTTCTAGGACTCAGAGGAGGCCTGGGAATAGGAGGCGCCTGGCTGGGCCCTCCTCTTCTGAAGCAGTTTGTGAGGCCTGGGGAGAGGTGTTAGTATCAGAAAAACATAGTCCTGCTCTCTCTCCATGGCCTTAGCCCGCCCCTCTGCGAGTGTGGCGTCATCCATGACTGCCCACGGGAAGCCAGAGGAGGTAATGAGTTGCATGTGCTT